TGTTTCGTGGCCCGGATATTATTTTAGAGCGTCGGCTCTAGGTTGATGGTTGGTTTTCGTTTTTCTTTTCTGCTGTGGTTCCTTTTGCTGTTGTGCATGTGGAACGTGGTGTCGGTTTATTATTTTGTGGAATGTCATCAAGGGGGCAGGTGTTGTGAAATGATGTGTTGTTTTCCTGTGTGATGGCATTCCCCAAACTGTCTCGTCTAGTCGCGTGCATGTGTGATATGAGCATGCGCGATGTTGTAGTCGAGAGTCCTTTTGTCAGTCTTCTTGTTCGTCTCTGTCAGAGCAGTTTGCTTTTCCGTCTTGTAAATATAACATAATGTAACAAACCAGTCTTGTCCTTTGTGTCCTGCGTCCCGGGGAACGGAATGGCTGAGATTCCGTAACATGCTCACCTGGAAGTAGACCATGCCAAGGAACAGACCGGAAATCAACACCAGGATAAAGTCAAACAGGATTCCCTGCCAGTCACGGGAAAACTGGAGAAGTGCGCGCAGAGTGAAATAGTATAGCTGCTTAGCGAAGCCGGCAGTCTTTCTCTTGCGTGCCTCTTCCGCCTCAGAAGCCGGCACAGATGGCTGTCTGGTTGAGATGGGTTCAGAGTCAGGCGAGTCCTCGATATCCATGGGTTGAAGTCTAGATTGACCGGGAACAGCCCCAGGCTTTGCCCTTGGGGTTTTTCCTTGAGCACTGGAGCCGTCAGTGTGGTCCGTCCACAGGTCAAACAAGTCCACCGAGGTGAACTCCGGATGGCCGGAGCGTGCAACGTCGCCTGATATCACATCCTGGATGGAATCACAGAAACAAGAGTGACTGAACAAGTCAGGGAATTATAGGACCATGATGTGAATTCCCAGCTTTAGATGGAGTACATGCAGCAAGTACACTACCTAATGTGCACGACTGAGGTCAGGTAACCATTCAACAGTGGCCGCAGGATTGTTGCTTTAGTTGGCTCACAAAACCTCTGGATCACCCTTATCACTCCCGTCACAGGATATGGTGCCAAATCAACAAGAGGCGTGGCGAGAATGCTTTGTCCACAATTCTTTAGCTTAAGACTGTAGTTGATCACGGCTCCTCGATGTTATTCATTCATCTGCTACCTGACTGTAAATAATAGAGCATGAGTAATGTATGATGATATTACGGGTAAATGGGGAGGGGGTGCAAAAACATGACATAATCGCCCTTACTGCACTGCAGATAAGAATGGGAAATCCCCAGGCTTCCTTGGCTGTTGAATACTGGAACTGAAACCTGACTAGGCCAGCTTACCATGAAGAAGTCAGGTGGATTGGCATGTTCAGGGCACTGGAAACCCAAGCCCTGGAAATACGGCAGTGCCTTCTCACTCGGCCCTGAAACATGACAAGCAGAAGAGGGTGGCCACATTTTTTTATTTACTGCCTGCACGTCATGGCACATCAGTAATGGAAATAGCCAACACAAGGAAGTGAGGGTGAATCCAACCACGGACCGAGAGCAGAGATGCTATCAACAACCTATTCGGCCCCGGGATTGGGTTAGAGGCGTTCCTGACAAGAACAGCAAACCCCCATTTTCTGATTTGAGACATCATGGTTTAATGTTTGTTTGAAGGTGCATAGGAAATGGAGTGCAGGTCACCCATCAGGTACAGTTTCATCCCTGTTACTAAGGAACACAACGGGCTCAGAGCCTCATCTCACAAGCTCGGATTGAACTGTTGAAATTCCAAGTCAGTAGAACCGATCTTGCAGCTCACAAGGTGCTCTGATCCACCCGACTATGGCGTGTCTGCTGGTCTCCTCATCCAGGCTTACAGGCCAGACTCCCATAACTGCTGTTTTGTTTGTTAGATGTAACAAAATCAACACAATGTGAGTTTGTAGAAGTCGGGCCCCGCCGATGAGCCTCGAGGGTACTCTAGTAGGATCATCGTTCCTAGAGTCAAACCACCGGTGGTGATGGTAGCCATGGTACCTGCCAATGGCAAGACACTATGTAGGACAGTGTGGCGTGGCACAGGCTTTTACTACCTAACTTCTACAAATTTAAGGATGACATATTGTAAAGGACAGACTTCACGCTTACCTAGATACACTGTTCTGCCACCCTTGCCGAGAAGCAACACCGAGTGAAACATCTGCCACACACACATGCACATACACAAACATGCAAACACACATGCACGCGACGCACATTTAGTCCACAGGCAGTGACCTGTGGTAAAAAGAAGAGTCCCAAGGGGGCTACAATGGGCAATAATGGTTGCTAACATTGTCAGGACACAACCCAAACCTGTGTAATGGTCTGACTGGCAACCCAGTGCACACATGTTCTTTTCTTCTGGTTTACTTGAAGTACAAAGGATACCAGCAGCTAGAATTGAGGATGACTTGCAATCGGATATTTTCGGATGTACCTGGTGCAGTAGCATATGAACATGCGTAGAGATAATCCCCCCCCCCCCCCCCTCTTTCTTTCTCTCTTTCCCAGGCGATTTATCTAGGACTAAGGACCAAACTTCATCTCAGACGACAAGGCAATGAAGGAGAGGAGATGAGCGACATCATCACACTGTGGAGTTTCTCTCTCATCTCCAGCACCTCCTATGATTACAATCAGAATTGTCCATGGTCCGCTACCTCTTGTATTCTACCACAGCTATCATTCAGTGCATGTAGTAAGGCATTTTGCTAGAGCTAGGACAGTTGCGCAATCGGCTCAGTACCTTGAAGATCTCATAACGTGGCTGGTGGATAACAGTGACCACGGTCAGGCCAGACTCTGCAATACGCTTCAGGCAGGCGCACACCTCCTTGGAACTGGTGCTGTCCAGACCCGATGTGGGCTCTACAATGACATTACAACATCAACAAGCCAACAACACATGGACAACGTTGCCTGCTCAAGATTACCATCAACAATAATGTTACCCAGCCAGATGCTTGAAACAATAATGCAATGCTCATTGGAATCCACCGATCCTATTGTTAACAAGGACACTGGGCCAAGTGATCCACTACCGACATAAATATCAAATTCTCCGCTTCCAAGTGTATGTACATACTACATGGTGGTAGACAGCTTGCTCAGTGAGCCAGTGCTGCGCAGTCCACATACACACCTTGCTCAGTGAGCCAGTGCTGTGCACTCCACATACACACCTTGTTCAGTGAGCCAGTGCTGTGCAGTCCACATACACGCCTTGCTCAGTGAGCCAGTGCTGTGCACTCCACATACACGCCGTTTGCAGTGCATACATATACCGCAAACAAGTACAATAGATGATCTGGAAGCCAGACAAGCACTGGGCTTAGACGAGAACTGGATGTTCTTACCGTCCAGAAAGAGCACCGTGGGATTGGCTACCATTTCCATTCCGATGTTGACACGCTTGCGCTGACCTGAGCGAAAAGAGAAACATTCCTTCCTTTGTAAGTTGCTTCACCGCAACAACACGCCATACATACATCCGCGCGTACACACGACCGCGGCCTGGCAACCACAGCAAAACAGAGAAGAATCTTCGACGCTACTCTTGTAAGGTTTGCTCTATGTCCACTCAGCGAAGCGTGTTTCCTTTGATCAAGTGCAATGTCAATGAATACTGGGTCGAACATCATCTCACAGAACAAGTTTTGTGCAGCACCGTGTGTTACACCGTGTGTTACACAAGAGTATATATGTACACTAGGTTACACCAGGTTCTCAGGAGAAATTTTTTCATGCGCCTAAGTTACTCTCTTGCACCTAAAACCCCAGCAATGAAGTGGACCGCAGTGGAGCTTTACCCTTCCCTTTAATTATAATCCATTTATTGAAAAAATGTGGTAAATATGTAAGTACATTGGAAGTTTCATCACGACCTATCCCTACCTCCGGATATGCCTCGCTTGGTTTCATCCCCAATGACGCTGTGCCGTATATCATAGAGGCCCAGGTCGTCAATCACGTTCTGGACTTTCTCGCGCTTGGCGACGCGCGGCATGCTGCGCGGCAGTCGCATCATGGCATGGAACGTCAAGTTCTCCTTGACGGTCATCATCCTCAGCATGATGTCGTCCTGCGGTACGAACCCGACCACCTTGCGGTACCTGGTCAGATCGTCGGGAGAGTCATTGATGAACACACGGCCCGTCTGTCGGCCGTACGTTGCTTTGCCGCACAGGGTGGTGATGAAAGTGCTCTACAAAGGAAAAAAGTGGAAGTGGCATGAGTAATTTAATCATTCAATGGCAGTCTAAGTTACTGATGTTGTGCCAACAAACCAGGCTGAGGTGTACTATAGTTCAACAGGTACCAGTGGCAAAGTACCCCGCTTGCAATACTCTCAGTCAACATCTGGAAGGTCATGCTTTTAGATGGACTTGCCCGCAACAACCGATTATGTTGTGAAACGTCTGCTTACAATACAATAATATTATGTATTTACACTTTTCAACGAGCTTCTAGCTTCAGCAATCAAACTAGTCTCTTGGAAGGGTCTGATACAGAATCACAGCCATTCCGACTGCACTCAAAGAGACGAACAAGAAGACTGACAAAAGGGCTCTCTCGGCTACAAAATCGTGCATGTTCATATCACACATGCACGCGACTAGACGAGACAGTTTGGGGAATGCCATCACACAGGAAAACAACACATCATTTCACAACAGGTCACACACCTTTCCAGCACCGCTTGGACCCATCACAGCGGTGACTTGATGGCTCTTAATCTGACCGGTTACTCCCTGCAAGACCTTAGCGCCACTGGACTTAAGCTCCAAGCCGAGCTCGTCAAATTGGAAATCGATAGTGAACTTCGGCTCGTCGGCCTTCTTGACCAGCGAGATATCCATGTAATTATCATCACCACTTGCCGTGGCTCCGTTGGAGCTGTACCGATAGCCGGAACCACTGATCAATGAGCTGTGAGCAATAGTAAAATAGACCACAACAGTGCACAGGCCAATGTGGCAGCTCACGAACATGCTATATGGATGCACATGGGCCGCGTTCAGCAACAACGACCTTTGAGCCTCATAACATGTTCGCAAAAATGTCAAAGATGACGTCGAAATTTAGGTCAAGAGTACAGTGCAAAATAGCCTTTAAGTAGTCTTTGCACTCGCAACCAAAAATTCAAGGACGTCGTCTTTCGACACCTTCCAGCACTTCGTGAAAGCTCTAAGGTTTTGTTTTTGCTGAACGCGGCTCACACACTGACATTTGTTGTGTTGAACAACCCTTCCTTGAAGTAATGTGTTGTGTTCGCGACAATATCCAGAGAAGAACAGCACAATTTCAAACTCCACGGTGGTGCTCGCGTGAAACGATGAATCAATCATGATCTGGATAATTCCATACGATGTAAAGGGAAATAGGCATACAAGAAAAGAACATTCAGCGGAAGGAGATAATACATACGCACACGGGCGCATGCCCAGCCTCCAATACTACAGTAAGATCGGGCGCCGAAGAACGCAGGGGCTCGAGCGCAGCCTAGGAAAGTTCTTAATTTTTTTGATTCTAGCCAGACCGTTCTTATTCACACGCGCGCGGCGAGTCGAGTGATGTCATGACGTTTGTCATGTACATGTACATGTACATGTAGTGCAAGGTAGTACTTCTAAACTAGTGGGTGTCGTAAATGGGAATGACTGTACATGTAGCAGTTACTGTTTACACGTGTACATGACATGTACTCACCTCCCATACATGTACAATGTAGATCTACGTACAATGTAGATCTAGTGTTCTTAAATCTGATAATTCTAGCCTGGACTGTTCTTAAATTCTGCCGGTTTTCCAGCCTGGGTGTTCTTCGGCGAGGTGTTCTTCGGCGCCCGATCTTACTGTATCTCCACTTTCTCTCATGGTACACTCACAGTGCCTAGACTAGGTGTTCAATGCGTGTTGCAGTCTGGACACATCACGGCCAATTACCACCACACTCAACAGCACAACCGGGGAATGAGATGAAATAGGTACTATCCATACCTGCCAACCGTCGCAAACCTGAGATCGCGACAATGACATACCTAGGTATGAAAAGTATACAATTGTAGCCGTGAGGCATGCGAATAATGCACGTTTGATTGCCTAATACCACCCTCGATATCGGGACGGTCCCGTATTGCCACCCTCGATACCAGGGCGGTCCCGTATTACCACCCTCGATACCGGGACGGTCCCGAGCAAATTGGGATAGTTGGCAGATACGACTATAATGGTGCTGCAGGCATAGCACATACCGTGTCAGCTCACTGCCATTGGAGCTGCTGGTCTCTCCCTGATGATCGGGTGAGTCGTGCTCTGCTGCAAGGCTCTGGTAGCGTGTACGCCGCTTCTGGTGACGGGCAACTCTCTCCTTGTCCCGATGGCGCAGGAACAGCCACCAGGCGCCGATGATGAACGAGGCGGGAAGGAATACCAACACGATGGCAAGACCGGAGTTCTTCTCCGATTCTGTTCCTCTGCACAGGGAAAGAAACATGATTGTCAATTCATCACTTTCGGGGGGGGGGGAGAAGAAGTCTGAAAGAGTACTACTCTCACACATGGTACTCACTTTGGTTGAGTGTCACTCAATATTTTCACTGGACTTACAGTGAGCATGCAATAGACTGGAAATGTCTGCAAAAATTCCCGTCACACTGAACTGCATCAGTCTATTTCTCCCGACATATAAAAGGCATCACGCCAAACTGCACTCTTGTCCTCCAAGCATGCATGTACTACGTGCATTTCCACCGCCACAGTAAATATATCAGACCGCTTGGTGATCATACCAGACCATGGCAGTTAAAACTGCGCACAAATCCAATGGTTGCTATGGCACACTAGTAGAGCGACAGACACTACAGCACACAGCTATATCATTGCACTTACGGGGGACAGCTGGTGAGTATGGGACAAGAGATCGGCGTGACAGTACCTGGCTTGCAATAGTGACCACTGGGGCACTGGATCCTCACACTGCTATTAGGACAGTAGTAGGATCCTGGGCATGGTCCCTCCACTGCCTTCCCTACAGGACAGTATCTACAATAGAAAACAGGTCATGATCATACGGGAGCGGCAGTCAGCAAGCATACACTAAAATCAACGGCTAATAATGCAAATACAATGTGAGCTAATACCCTGCCTAATCTGTATGCGAACTGTGATGAGGAAATCATGAGAGAATGAAAACTAATTTATGATTTACCGTCTACTCTTCCTGAAAACAGTCCATCGACTTGATTAACCGTCAGATCTCAAACCAGGTCTCAAACAATCGGAATAGCCAATGCTACCGTCAACTCACGTTTGATGCATTCAAAAGCCTGCAAGTCAGCTCAAGCACTGCTCAAGAGTGTGAGCCAACAGCCTATCAATCCTGAAGGTTTGCAGCAAAGTGAAGCAATCTAGAACGAGAATGTTGGCTTAATATTCAAGTCAACATTGCCGTGAAGCATTGTGAAGCTTAGCTCTTCGGCAGTTTAATGAATGAACTTCTTGCATTCCTTTCACAATGTTCCA